TGTGCTAATCTAATGTATGCGTGTAAAATGTAGTGCTTTTGCTCAGTGCGTTGTTCTCTCTTCTCTCCCTGGATGGCATAGGTGGCAGCGGGGATGCAGAAGCATTCACAATCCAAAATAGAAAGCGACGTAGGGTTACGTTGCATTACCCAGAGCCGCTGCTTGCCTCAGAACACGGGCAGCTGGTTGGCAAGTAGTTTTTTAAAAAAAAATTCAATACAGTATTTTTTTATTTTATTTACTTTAAAAAAAAAATACTTTTATCAGAGTAGTGCAATGTTATCATAGTAACAGTGTACTACTCTGGGGGGTGATCTGGGATTTTTTTTTCCAACTTTGCTTTACAAGAGCAAATAAAGATTATTGCTCTGCAATGCAAAGCTTGCTTTGAACTGTCATGAATGAGTTACTGTCACAGGGTGGTACAGGGTGCTGTGATTGGCCCTATGTATCAAGTGAGAGCTGTGGGCCAATCACAGCTTACCAGGAAGAGAAGAAGAGCTGTTATGAATCAGATTGATTCATAACTGTTTTGCTAACATTGTGATCTTGTGATTGCATAGCGATCACATGAACAATTGGGTCCGTTTAGCAGGATCTTCATTCCGCTGTGTACTGTGCGGAGACAGCGATCGCAGGTGGGGAGGGACGGGTGGGGCTCAAAGTTCCCCTGTGTTAATACAGATGGAGCGTTGTACCCGTACATCACTTTGCCTGCTGCCACAGACAGCAAGTGGATAAGCAAAAAAAGTCAAAAAATTTTGAAAATAAAATAATATTTTTTTACTTTCTGCTATAAAACATATAAAAAATAAAAAAAATCTAATTTCTTCATAAATTTAGGCCAAAATGTATTCTGCTACATGTCTTTGGTAAAAACAAATATAGTATCTACAAACTATGAGATATACGGTATACTGCCATTTTTATTTATTTTTTTTATACTAGCAATGGCAGTGATCAGTAACTTTTAGAGGGACTGTGATAGTGACATTTTGTGGGAACTGACTAAATGGCACTGGTATCTTCAGTGACACTAATACAGTGATCAGTGCTAAAAATATACACTGTCACTGGACTAATGACGCTGACTGGGAGGAGTTAACATCTAAGGGCAATCAAGGGGTTAACTGTGTGCCTTATGTGTTTACTGTGTGCTGCTTTGTACTACACATCAATTTTTCTTTCCCCTGCTTAGCACAAAGCGATCGCTCCCTCTGTATAGAACTCTGTGTTGTTTACCAACACAGAGCTCTAGGATGTGATTTGATACAGCAGATCAATAAGTCTCAGCCATGAATCATTGGTCAGGATCTGTTGATGAATTCCCGCTGTGTCAAATCACAAGGGAGTAGGCAGGCAGGGGTGGAACCCAGAAACAGGCAGCAATGTACCACTAGTATGTCGTAGTGCCTATAGCTGCAGCCCCATCGCAGTAAAATTACTGTGGCGGGTCAGCAAGTAGTTACTATTATAAAGCCTAAGTCAGAATTACCTTTGGCAACCAGGGGATTCTCCCTGCTGTAGTGATTTCACCTCATTCCTCTATCACTCCCTCCTTTTCTACTCCATTGGCCAATTAGATCCTTACCACTTGCCTACCAGGCACTTTTACCTCCCTTCCTGCCCAGGCCAATTTTCAGCTTTCAGCGCTGTCGCACTTTGAATGACAATTGCGCGGTCATGCAATGCTGTACCCAAACAAAACTTTTATCATTTTTTTGAGACAGATAGAGCTTTCTTTTGGTGGTATTTAATCACCTCTGGGGCTTTTTATTGTTTGCTAAACAAACTAAAAAGCCTGAAAATTTTGAAAAAAAAAAAGTTTTTTCTTAGTTTCTGTAAATAATTTTTCTCCTTCATTGATGTGCGCTAATGAGGCTGCAGTGATGGGCACTAATAGGCTACACTGATGTGCACTGATAGGAGGTACTGATGAGGAGGTACTGGTAGGTGGCACTGATGGGCATTGACAGTCATCACTTGTAGGCATTGACAGGCATCACTGATGGGCACACATATATGCACTGATAGGCGGCCTTGATGAGCACTGATAGGCGGCACTGATTGGAACTGTTAGGCAGCACTGATGGGCACTGATAGGCGGCACTGATAGGTGGCACTGATTGGCACTGATAGTTGGCACTGGACACTGATATGTGGCATTGATGTGCACTGATGGGCACTGGTATGTGGCATTGATGGGCACTGACAGGTAGCACTGATGCGGCTACACTGATCATCAGGGCACTGATGATCAGTTCCCTGATGATCAGTGTAGATCCGCTGTGTCTCAGAAACGCAGTGCACCATCAATCGCTGTTCACCCCCAATCGCTTGGTGCGCATGCGCAGCACAGTTAGAGTGGCGGGAAGCCATATGAAGTCCTCCCAGAATGAGAGAACCTCCTCCTTATAAGGCGGTTAAGATTAAAATGGATAGAAGAAATCTATGGTCACAGCATACACTTTCAATTTGATAACATCAGCATTGTAATAACAAAACAAATTATTTTTAGTTATATTTGATAATCCAATATAAATGTACTCGAAAAATCTCCTTTCATCTTGTGAGTGCTGCCTGTCTGCTGGCTGTCACTTTCCACAACTTTCTGGATTCCCAGAATGCTTTGCAGCTTCTCCTCCATCTCTAAGGACTACATATCCCATGGTACCTCGCTGCCCACAAGCAGTGATTTCTGTACTGACTCCGCCTCCTGAAACTCCTCCCCTAGGTGCCTCTTTAGTTCAGAAGGAAGGCTCTGTGAAATGTGTGACACAGCAGTGCTACTTACAGGGCATAGTCTATGTGTCACAGAATTCATGGAACTAAATGTGTGGCTGCCCACAAGCAGTGATTTCTATACTGACTCCGCCTCCTGAAACTCCTCCCCTAGGTGCCTCTTTAGTTCAGAAGGAAGGCTCTGTGAAATGTGTGACACAGCAGTGCTACTTACAGGGCATAGTGACTATGTGTCACAGAATTCATGGAACTAAATGTGTGGGTACATTTAGAGATTGTTCAGAGTAATAGGACTAGGCTATAAATAATTGAAATACAATGTGGAAATGAATATATGATTTTACATTTTGACCATGGATATGCTTCAAGTCCTATTTCTTTTTAACACTTGGCAATCCTGCACTCATTCCTCCGTATCTGACCCTCTAGTTAATATTATTATTATTATACAGGATTTATATAGCGCCAACAGTTTGCTCAGTGCTTTACAATATAACGGGAGACAATACAGCAACAATACAGTTCAATACAAGAGGGTTAGGAGGGCCCTGTTCCTTGGAGCTTACAATCTAAAAGGGAGGGGCTAGTGGTACAAAAGGTAATAACTGTGGGGGATGGACTAGTAGGAGGAATTAAAGATTCCATTATTAGCTGAGGGCAGGATAGGCTTCCCTGAAGAGATAGTTTTTCAGAGATTGCCTAAAAGTGAGTAGAGTCGGCGATAGTCTGATAAATTGGGGTAGAGAGTTCCAGAGGATGGGGGAGGCTCTGGAGAAGTCCTAGAGATAAGCATGGGAGAAGGGGACAAGGAACATAGAGAGTAGGAGGTTGTGTGAAGAACAGAGAGTACGGTTGTCTTATATACCCCACTTTTGCATTAATGCCCAATCCCTCCTGAGTTCCATGTGTGCTAATTCCAGATCCTGCCTTTCCTGTGGCTGCCCTGTACAGTTCCTGGCTTTCAAGAACACCACCTTGCATCCCCGCACAGCTCCTGGCTTCAACACACACCACCTGTATATATGCTGTATATCAAATTCTCAAATATATTGCACAGCCTTATAAATGTTTCAAAATATCTGTGAATGCAAGCATTTTTTTTTAAAAACATCTCTTTCGTTAAAGTATCATAAAATGTCCTTTGTGCTTCAACATAAATATCAACCTCGCCCTCAAGGGACCAGGGGGCGTATTTACTGCAAGGCAAACAAGGCATTTGCCTAGGGCAGCATTTTTTAGGGGGTCGGCACCCTGACAAAAGTGACACACGTGGTAGTCAGTGACTGAGGATGGGGAGCAGGTGAGGCACAGGAACAGCAGTGGGGGCTGCAGAAGGGTGTCCGACTCTCATTGCCGGATCATTGTCAGAGATCAGCACAGAAGGAAGACGTCGGGCTTTCCTGATCATGGCTCCCAGGTTGGCCAGGGGGTGACTGCTTGAATATCTCTCTCTCTCTCTTTTCTCTCCAACCATCCCCCCATACATGAAGGGGTGGGTGGATGGTGCGATTTTACTTTTGCCTAGGGTAACGATCAACCAAATACACCACTGCAAGAGACCACTGTTCCCCTACTGGTTGTAGTGTGCTTTGCCTCTTCCCATGTATGGTGTGGTTATAATTCCAACTGGTTGATAAGGTCCTTCCTGCTGGGCTTCCTACTTTCAATCGTGAATCAAGCATCTGCAGTTCATTCGGCTGATTGATTGCAGTACTTAGTCAGCCCTCTATACTAGTAAGTATGAGTGGAGGGATATACAGGCATACTCATACCTGCATAAGAGAAAACCCCTCCCCGAGTTAGGAACTGAAGAGGGCATTGCTATTTGTTTGCTTCACCTCCTCCATTGTAACACACAAACCAACTTTAATTGTACCACAAACCAAATTTAATTATAGGACATTTGTAATGTTTGTTTAACAAGTGGCTTTCATTGTGTGGATTACACCACCTGGAGTTTGTATTACTGTATTTTTAGCTCCATAAGATGCACCTGACCATAAGACGCACCTAGGTTTTAGAGCAGGGGTCCTCAAACTTTTTAAACAAGGGGCCAGTTCACTGTCCCTCAGACCGTTGGAGGCCGGACTATAGTTTAAAAAAAAAAAAAACTATGAACAAGTGCAGACACAGTACAGGAGATGACCAGAGACTGCGGACACAGTACAGGAGATGACCAGAGACTGCGGACACAGTACAAGGAGATGACCAGAGACTGCGGACACAGTACAGGAGATGACCAGAGACTGCGGACACAGTACAGGAGATGACCAGAGGCTGCGGACACAGTACAGGAGATGACCAGAGACTGCGGACACAGTACAGGGGATGACCAGAGACTGCGGACACAGTACAGGGGATGACCAGAGACTGCGGACACAGTACAGGAGATGACCAGAGACTGCGGACACAGTACAGGAGATGACCAGAGACTGCGGACACAGTACAGGAGATGACCAGAGACTGCGGACACAGTACAGGGATGACCAGAGACTGCGGACACAGTACAGGGGATGACCAGAGACTGCGGACATAGTACAGGAGATGACCAGAGACTGCGGACACAGTACAGGAGATGACCAGAGACTGCGGACTAGTATAGCAGATGACCAGAGACTGCGGACATAGTACAGGAAATGATCAGAGACTGCAGACATAGTGCAGGAAATGACCAGAGACTGCAGACATAGTACATGAGATGATCAGAGACTGCGGACATTGTGCAGGAGATGACCAGACAGTAGTACAGGAGATGATACGAGACTGCGGACATAGTATAGGAGATGACCAAAGACTGCGAGCATAGTACAGGAGATGACCAGAGACTGCAGACACAGTACAGGAGATGACCAGAGACTGCGAACATAGTACAGGAGATGACCAGAGACTGCGAGCATAGCACAGGAAATGACCAGAGACTGCGGACACAGTACAGGAGATGACCAGAGACTGCGGACACAGTACAGGAGATGACCAGAGACTGCGGACAGTGCAGGGGATGACAAGAGACTGCGGACATAGTACAGGAGATGACCAGAGACTCTGGACACAGTACAGGAGATGACCAGAGACTGCGGACACAGTACAGGAGATGACCAGAGACTGCGGACACAGTACAGGAGATGACCAGAGACTGCGGACACAGTACAGGAGATGACCAGAGACTGCGGACACAGTACAGGAGATGACCAGAGACTGCGGACACAGTACAGGAGATGACCAGAGACTGCGGACATAGTACAGGAGATGACCAGACACTGAGGACATAGTACAGGAGATGACCAGACACTGCAGACCTTTGGGGAGTGGACAGGTACCCAAATTTGTCAGTTGTCCTTCCCCCTCCCTCCCCGTAGTCTTTTGGGACAGGTGACAGGTCCCAGAAGGCTACAGGGCCATTCACAAAGCGCAGTGCTTCTTGTACATGCTCAGTGGGCACCCAGCCATGAAATTGCAAGCTGTTACAGCTGGGTGCCCACACTAAAGATGCTGGCGCCAGGGAGAGAAAAACGGTGAGGACACCGCTGGGCAAGGAACAGGTAGGACCGCTGGAGGTCTGCAGGTTCTGCTGCACAGAAGAGGCAAGTGGCTGGCCCACAGCAGCGACAGGGGGAATACCGGGCCAGCCGCTTCATATTCGCTCCATAAGACGCACAGACATTTTCCTTCATTTTTGGAGCAAAAAAAGTGTGTTTCTATGGAGTGAAAAATATGGTAATCTGTAAATTTCTATAAAAAAAAATAAATCTGAAAGAAATATTTCTGCAACCCCCAATACTGGCTTTTAGACAACCCCCCAAACCTCAGAAATAAACTAATCAGTAGGAAACTTCCTTCTGATTATGATGTCACAAATAATGAAAGCAAACCCTGCAATAAAAAATGCTGCAAACTGTGCAACCAAATAAATCCATCAGAAACTGTCAGACACTCAAAAGGGATCTTCAATATCACTGGATCATACAGCTGCACCTCCAGTAATGTTGTGTATCTTATCCAGTGCAAAAAATGTAGCAAAGTATCATACGTTGGCGAAACAGGACAGAAGTTGCAAAGAAGGATGAATTTGCACAGACATACCATCAAGGAACATAAAAAGATGACTTTTGCACACCTGTGGGACACCATTTTCACACAACCAGACCACACTATGGAAGACCTCAATATTTTAGTTCTTAAAGGAAATTTCAAAACTATCCAGGAAAGGAAAACTTTTGAACTAAGAATGATATTTCTATTTAATACAAGAGATAACGGCCTTAATTTGGACATGGGATTCCTCACTCATTATCAAACAGTTTTACGACCCCCTCTGTGATTGTTGTCCCAACCCCCCCTCCCCCAGTCTTTGCTTTTGCTCTGTCTTATGTCTAGTCCAGGGGATTCCGGACTGACAACTCATGGGGCCCCCGGGCAATAGGGGATCATGGGGCCCCTGTGTCCTTGCCCAAACTCAAAAAAAAAAACTATGAAAAGGGTACCAGGGGCATCTCATGGGGCCCCCTACTGACCCCGGGCCCTCGGCAGTGCCTGAAGTTTTCTAAATGGTCATCCGCCCCTGGTCTAGTCTAATCCTAGTTTTATAACCATTGCTGTGTACATTTGTTTGTGTGTGTGTTTTTTTTCTCCCCCCCTTCAGAGATTGTTTCTTTTAACATTCTGCTAAAACTTTGTGAAGTAGTACTGCTTGGACTTTGAAGAAGAGGACATACCCCTAAAGCTTGTCCTGAAAATTGTATGTTAGTGCAAATAAAAAAAGTATCACGGACAGTACAATCACCTCAAGTAAAACAAATAAACAAACAATAACACAGATGAACAGACCCTCTATCAAGGACATCTCCAAATATTCTCCTTTTGAACTTCTCTCAATAAATGATTGCAATGAGTCTGTTGAACCTTCAGGCTAAAGGCTAAAGGGAAATCTGCGAAACAAAGTATCCTGAGATGTATGGATTTGGTCATGCTGTAAGGTAAAGCCTGATGTATGGGGGATATTTACTTTACTTCATGGTCACACGGCTTCCTGCCTGTTCTGGTAGAGCCACTGCTCTTCGTTGCTGGAGCTAAGAAATCTGAAGCCATCAAGAAATACGTACCTTACGCATGTAGCACTACCCCATTAGGAGTTGCTGAGTCATTTTCCCTGATGTTCTGGACCTATTTTTGAATGCCCAACCCTTGCTGACATCACGGGACTCTTTTGACCAGAGTAAATTACCACCAGAAAGTAGAGTCACATGCAAGTTAGAGTAAATTGATATAAAATTTATATTAAACTTCAAGGTAAGCTTGGTTAGACAGTACAAAATGGTATTAGTACGTGGAATGGCAATTATTCTTAGCAACTCTAAGCAAAGAAACACCACACAGCAGAATCTCAATCAGTGTTAGCAAGCTTGCTTTCCAGAAGTTAACCCAATACCTTCAATCTGAGGTGTTGTCAACCCCAATGAGCAATGAAAAGTAACAAACAGCAGAACTAGCTCACTTTGGACCAATCAGTGAGTCCATGTCCCTTTAAATGCAGTGAGGATTCTTCTGCACACTCGCTGGGGCCCAGTTGGTGCACAAGTAGAAAGTGATGTAGATGGCAGTTCCTTAAAGGATTAACACAAGGCGAGGAAGAAAAAATGACAAGTACTGTCTCTTTTTAAGTGGCACTTGACTTGGTCTTGTCCCCATTTATGCTCTCACAAAAGAAAAGCAGATTTAGGCAAATAAAGTGTCAAATTGGCAGTAGGGTTTGTTGGCAAGAGGGCAACTCCACTCTGGGCTGCTGTAACCAATGGCAACGTAGCAGATGGTAAAGGGGGTAAGCCAATGGTCAAGGGAACACTAATGTGATATGGCCTGCAGAAAGTGTACACTGCAGCCAACTCTGATGTTTGGATTGTGCTGCCAATGCGTTTACCAGTAGTGGCTGGGGGAACTAGGCCACAACACGTGCTAACTGTATGCAATGTCCGCAACTGTGTGCAGGAAAAGTAGCAAATATGAGGAGAATATTGATGCTCTCTTGTTTGGCTGGTGTATGGGACTCTCTTAACAGATCAGTGGCTTCCAGCAGGTCCTGTGGCTGTCTCTCTCTGTCAGCGGATAGGGGCCCCCACAGGTTCTTGGGCCTCACTTGCAGCGTTCCATTTGGTCACTGCAATCTGGGTCACCAGGTGGCAGACTCATAACTCCCAACTGTCCCTAATTTCAAGGACTGTCGCTGATTTGGATGAAAGTCCCTCTGTCCCTTTTTCCCTCCTTACTTGTTCCTCATTTTGGTCTGATCTCTATAGTTGTATAGAAAATGCACTATTTATCTTTCAAAAAGTGTTTCCCAGTGTTAAACCTTTCATCCAATTTCTAAATTGTTGCATTTGCAAAACATCAAAAGCCAGTATAAAGAATAGTAGTGGTTAAAAAAAGCACTTGTGTGTTAAACTAATATTTTATTTTGTATAATTCACCTTTAAGGGTGTGTGGCAGGAAGATGTGTCCTATGCCTACACACATTTGCTAATAGGTGTCCCTCATTCCCATCTTAAAACGTTGGGGGGTATGCAGACGACTCACTGAACAGGGTGGCAAGATCAGGGACTCCTCCTTGCTTCTTTCTCTAGCTCTGTAGCCTGGTCCGGTTCTCCCAGCAGTCAGCACAACTCTCTCTCTCCTTCCGCTCTCCTGCTCTCTACCATCTCATTTCCTGTCCAGTCTCCCAGGCTTCTGTATATATCTGTCCACACCCACACACCAGCTCTTCTGGGAAAGGTAGTCCTCTGATACACTGCTCCTCAGCAAAGTCCTGCGGTTTAGCATACAAGGTCCATGGAGATGTTCTGCAGAGTGTGAGTGCCACTGAATTTGTAAGAAAGTGCCATCTTGTCTTGGTTTTAACATCCTGCAGTTGATATTTCAGCAGGGTGTTACGTGAACTACTCTACATTATATCCTCCTACTAAGGCCTCATGTATGAGGAAAACTTTGCTTCATGGTCCTGCAGGCTTTCTCCCTGCTTGTTCCAGTAGAGCCACCATTCTTCTGTGCTGGAGCCAAAAAATGTGATATAAGCCATAAAGACAAAAAAAAATAAGGTAAGTATTAGTATATATTATATCCTCCTAGTAAGACCTGATGTATGAAGAATAAGGCAAGTATCACTCTACATGTAACACATTGAAATGTGTTAGATGCATACTTTAAAATGGATATTAGATGGCGGTGGACTGCCATTCAGGGTCATTTACATTGGCAGAACAGCCCTCTGGAACTTGTATGCTGAACAGCAGGACTTGAATGGTGAGCAGGGCACTCAGGGACTGCATTTCCCAGGAGAGGTAGCATGTGGGCAAGGGCATATAAATATCAAAGCCCAGGAGGCTGGTGGGGGAGAAGAGTAGAGCAGAGAGGAAAAGTAGGAATTGTGCTGATGGCTGAAGTGCTGAACTAGGATGCAGAGCCATAGTTGGCGATGGAGAAGCAGCAGAAACGAGCCTACTGATCGCCGCCCTGCCACATTGTCCAGCGAGCCCATATGTTAGTAGGAGAAAAGACGAGATGCTGAACTGGAACCTGAGTGTCTGTGTTGGGACCTCATCTGTCGGAGAAATTGGGCGGTTGCATGATGCCGAACCATATTGATTGGATGAGAGAGTTCCAAGTATTCACAACTGAGTGAACACAGACAGTTTCATCAGCCCAGCTATCTACTTGCACATAGTTGTGAACATTATTATATTATTATCGTTGCCTCAGGTTGCGGCCTAGTTCTCCCAGCCACTCCTGTTGGGAAGCATCTGCATCATACAAGGACATACAACTACAGGTCAGAACACAACAGTGCCAAAAACAACACGCTCCCATTTCCAGCAGAGAGCAGGATTCCTACTACTGTTGCCTTTGGCCTTTGACATCCAAAGATAGTTATCCTTGCCCATAGACATTTATACCAATTGTTACCTTTCACCACCTCAAGTCTGCCTCTTATCTAATGCCCTAAAGGGCACTACCAGTAAAAGGAAAAGTGTTTTATCCTTCCTATCTTCCCCATTATTTCTGTGTCACCCTTTTGAGGAACTATTATCTACGCCTTAAGTCAACTTCATTCAAACTGGGCCCCAACAGGTGCGCAAAAGAAGAATTATAGTCATCTTAAAGAGA